GCTTGCAATAATTCAAAATGGCTGCTCTGTGCTGGTTAGCAGTTTATAGCTCCTTGTTCACTATTATTCAGTCTCCGGCTTGCATCAGTATTTGATTTACTTATTTCTCTGTTTCTTTGAATCTCTGGGACTCAGGGTAGTTATCCACAGCTGTTTTCCTTGTTTTTTCGAGCCTTTGTTGTAGAGGGTCTAGGTAGTGTGTCTGCCTAATCTGCCATCTTGGACCCGAAATTCACATGTATTTTTATGACTAACAATTGTTATTCTATTATCCCGGAATTGAGTTGGAAAGTGTTCCTTCTTTTTCATTACTTTGGAATAATTAGTATAAGATTGGAATTATTTGTTTCCTGATTGTTTAGTAGAATTCTCTGATCCAATTTCTTTAGTGGTTATTAAACCATTTTTACTTCTTCTTTTAAAATTATTTTGGTAGATTAATTTTGAGGAATTTGTGCATTTCTTAAGTTTTCATATTTTTTGGAATGAAATTGTTCCTATCAATCTCTTGAAAAAAATTCCTTTATCTCTGCAGTAACTGTAGTTGTCTCCCTTCTCATTATGAGTGACTTTCTCTACTTTTTAAAAAGAAATCTTTACAAAAATATTATTAGTGTTTTAAAACCCAATATTTGACTTCATTGATCCTCTATATTCTATTCTTATTAATTTCATAAATTTCTTTTACCTTAGCTCTTTCATTTTCCTTAGATTTATCCCTATATATTCAAGTGAGCTTGAATATTATGTCAGTAAACTCTCTAAGCAGTAAAGAAAGAAAACCCCTGGACGGGGAAAAAAAATAAACGAGAACTGAGTATTCAAGAACTGTGGGACAATTATAAAACGTGTAACATATGTTTAATGGAAATAGCAACAACAACAAAAAAAAGGGGGTAGGGGAGAAAGGAATAGAAGAGATATTTTAAGTAATAGTGGCTGAGAATTTTCTAGAATGGTTGATAGATATCAAACCACATATCCAGGGCACCCAAGGAAAATCAAGCAGGATAAATTCCAAAATATCTATATGTAGAAATATCATATTCAAACTACTGAAAATCAAAGACAAAGAGAAAATCTTGACAGAAGTCAGAGGGAACAACACTTTATCTATAAGATAAAGGAACAAGTGTAAGAATTACATCAGATTCCTCTTCAGAAACCACGGAAGAGTGGAATGAAATACTTAAAGTATTTAAAGAAAAATATCACACTGATGTAGAATTCTGTACCCCAAAAAATTATCTTTCAAAAGTGAAGAAGAAATAAAGACTTTTTCAGACAGACTAGGCAATCTACTCCATAGAGATACCACCTCAGAAACCCAAGGAGGGGTTGCTATGAGTTGGAATCAACTTGACGGCAGTGAGATGTGCCTTGCAAGGAATGTTAAAAGAAGTTCTTCGGAGTGAAGGAAAATGATATAGGTTAGAAACTCAAATCTCCATAAAGAAAAGAAGAATATTCAAGAAGGAATAAATTAAATTAAAATATTCTTTTATTTCTCTTATCCTTAACTGATCTAACAAATAACCATTTATTTAAAATGATAACAAAAACACGTACTGGACGATTATACTTTATGGATAAATGAAATGTATGGCAGCAATGTTATAAGGGATGAAGGAAAGGAACTGGACATACTCCGTTATAAGGTATCTGTACTAACTGTGATGCAGAATAGTATTATTTGAAAATGAACTTAGATTAGTTGAAAACGTATATTGCCAATTCTTAGGAAGATGGGGCAATCTATTTCCGTAGTGATACTGCCTCGGAAACCCAAGGAGGGGTTGCTATGAGTCGGGTCCAACTTGACGGCAAACAACAACAGGGCAACCGCTAAAACATTTTTTAAAAGAAATATAATTGATATACTAAAAGAGGTAGGAAAATGGAGTCTAATATAAACCAAAGGTAGTAAAAAAAGTGGGGAAGACAAAGAAAGGATCAAAGAACAGGGGCAAGAAAACAGTAACAAATATGGTAGATATTAATTCAATTATGGCAATAATCATTTTAATAGTGAACGGTTGAATACAAATTAAAAGACAGAGACTAGCAGAGTGGATTATAAAAACAAAAAAAATGAGACTCAACTTATGCTGTCTACAAGAAAATCATTTTAAATATAACAACACAGATAGGTTAAAAGTAAAGTGATGAAGAAACATGTATTAGGGTAACAGTATCAAAAGAAAGATGGAATAAATAAAAAGAAAAATGAAATAGCGATATTAATTTCAGACAAAGCAGATTTTAGAGAAAGGATAATATCAGGATAAAAAGGGGGATTATGTAATGATAAAAGGGTCAATTCTGCAAGAAGACACAACAATCCTTAATGTGCATATACCTAACAACCAAACCAAACCCGCTGCCATTGAGTCAATTCTGACTCACAGTGTGCCTACAGGACAGAGTAGAACTCCCCCATAGGTTTCCAAGGCCATAAATCTTTATGGAAGCAAAATCACTCATTTTTCCCCCATAGAGCGGGTGGTGGGTTCAAACTGCCAACCTTTTGGTTAGCAGCTGAGTGCTTTAACCACTGTGTCCGCAGAGCTCCTAACAAGAGAGCATCAAAATATACACAAGAAGTGACAGAACTACAAGGGAGAAATAAACAGATTCACCATTGTGGTGGAGACATCAAAAACCCTCTACCAGTAATTAACAGATCTAGCAGGCAGAAAATCATTAAGGATACAGTTGAACTGAACACCACCACCAATCAACTGGATCTAACTGACATTTATAGAATACTTCATTCAACAACACCCAGATACCCATTCTTCTCAAGCTCATATGACACATTCATCAAGACAGACAATATCTTGGGCCCTAATAAAAAAGAAAAATCATACAAAATATGTTCTCTGATCATAATGTAATTGCTTGAACAATTTCTCTTAGAAAGATCAGCACGAGGCTAGTCCCCATGAGGCGGAGGTCAAGAATGTCCCAAATGTCCAAACTACCATACCACTCCATCATTTCAGACATTAATCCCTCCTCCTCCTCCTCCGAGTAATTTCCCCAGTCTTAGGGTTCTGAATTTCGCTGTAACGCCTCACAGAACTCACAAACACCCAAGGGTTTGTTTCACGTAGTAGCGGTGGAGGCTGGCAGGCTGGCGAGTCCCAGGTCCGTGAGTAGGAGTGGTGGAGGCTAGCAGGCTGGCGAGTCCCGGGTCCGTGAGTAGGTCTGGTGAATCCTCCCAACTCTCAGGGTTTGATGAACCCTGATCAGTAGATCAGACGGCGGCTATTGTCCCAAATCCAGGGGTGAGATGAGGATGATCCAAGAAACAAAAAAAAACCGGAGCAAGAGGAGGAGCGAATCTTCCCAGGAGATCCACCAGCAATGCTCCAGCCCAATCTATCAGTTGTAACTGCCAAGGTCTGAATTCCAACTGCCAGTCATTATAGGGTCCCTCGGGAACTTGATTTCCACCAGCAGTGCTCCAGCCCAGTCTATCAGTTATAACCTCCAAGGTCTAAATTCCAACTGCCAGTCATTATAGGGAATGACTACTACCAGCTGCCCAGCTAAGTTGTTATCTGAACTTAACTATCACACCACACCAAACAGGCATAGATAATGGGATTTACAAAACACCACAGAATGGAGGGCAATGGCTAGAAGGGCCACATCAAGCAATTCACTGCAGTAATAAAATCAGAAATTAGCAACAGAAAGATGGAAAATTTCAAATTATCTGGAGATTAAACAACACAATTCTAAACAACACATGAGTCAGAGAAGAAATCTCAAGAGAAATGTAAAAATACTTTAAACTCAATGAAAATGATAATACAACATATCAAAAGTATGGGATGTGGCAAAAGCAGTGGCTAGAGAGAAATTTATAGCATTGAATGTATATATTTTAAATGAAGAGAGATCTAAAATTAATAATCTAAGCTTCCATTTTAGGAAACTCAAAAAAGAAGAAATTAAATTCAAAATAAGCTCAAGAAAAGAAGTAATAAAAATTAGAGAAAAAAAAAAAAAAAAAAACAGTAATAAATGAAACCAAAACCTGGTTGTTTGAAAAGATCAGTAAAATTGATAAACCTCTAGCCGGGCTAACCAAGAAAAAAAGATACAAATTATTAATATTAAATATGAAAGAGGTATAATCATAACTGATCCCAAGGACATTAAAAGGGATGGTAAAGGAATATTTAGAACACTCTATGTCCACAAATTTTATAACTTAGATGAAATAGATCAATTCCTACAAAGACACACCCTAACAAAACTCATACAAGGACTAGGCTGATATCTAGCAAAGAAAGTGAAACAGCAGTTAATAACCTTCCAAACAAAAAGCAACACCTCTAGATGGTTTCACTTATGTATTCTACCACACATTGAAAGACGTGAGATTTCAAAATCTTCAAAAAAAAAAGAAGAGGAGGGAACACTTCATTCTACAAGGTCAGCATTGCCTTAATACCAAAATTGGACAAAGGCATTATTAGAAAGAAAAATTACAGACCAATGTCTCTCATGAACACAGATGTAAAACTCCTCAACAAAATATTAGAAAATTGAGCGCAATAATGTATAAAAATAAGTATGTATCACAACCAAGCAGAGTTTATCCCAGATATGCAAGGCTGGTTAAACATTTGAAAAAAAAAAATCAGTTAATGTAATAATTCATCAGATCAACAAGCTAAAGAAGAAAAACCACATGATCATATCAATAGACATAGTAAAAGTATTTGAGAAAATCCAACACCAATTGATGATAGTAATTCCCAGCATATGAGAAATAGAGAACGTCTTCAACTTGATAAAGAACATCTATAAAAACCCACAGCTGGCATCGTCATATATTTTAAACAATTTAATTATACCATTCAAATGAGATGCAATAATAATAAATCATCATGTATTAAGACAAAAACAAAAAAATCTTGTAAAAATTAATTTATTTAGTAATAGCTATCTCCAATAGCTTGAAATAAAAATTTCCATTGTCTTCAATTGAATTGTATGTTACTTTCTTGTAGAATGTCCTTTTTTTCATTGAAATAATTTCTAAACCATTCTATGTGTTCAATTTTTTGTTTAACGCTCAAATATGGGTTTTTGGAAAGGCCACAGGTCACCAGCTCCATGAAGTGACGAATTGGTCCTTGTTTTGGAAAATCCTCCAGGTGTTTTTCCAGAAATATATGTTCATGAAATTCTGAACCATCATCATCAAAACCTGGGAAACAAGACAAAATATATTATATTATAATTTTGAATGTAAAAAACCTACATCAGTACAATGAGGATAAAAATAGCACTCTCTTCATGGAGGTTTTTGTCTCAATTAATTAGATATACTGCATATAGAATTTTTGTACAATTCCTAGTATATTATAAATGATAAAATGTAGCAGCAACTACTGTTAATGAATAATTATTTTAAAAACATTTGAAGGAAATATACCAAGAAGTAAAGAGAGTTTATTACAATGTAGTAATTTTCTACCATTTCCCAAATTTTCTATAATATGTGTATCCTAAAATATGTATTAGTTTTATTAAAAGAAATCAAAGAAGTATATGCTTAGAGGTAGAATTTAAAATATTATTATTTTACATAATCTAAATCCCATCAATTTTAAGACTCACCATCGCTTATACGTTCCATGAAAAAAAAAAAAGGTGTCAATTAGACAATGAAAATGCTTTCAGGTAATATTCATTTTTTCAGACCCATTTTCCCTGCTCTTCCTCTTCAAATACCCTGGAAATAATAAACAAACTCACTTCCCTGCCTCATACTCGTTGGGAGTGGAGGGCCTGATGTGCGTAAAGCAATGCTACCACCAGAGCCTGGCAGGGCCAAACCCATTCCTCACCCCACACTTATCTACAGCAATGGACCAAATCTGCCTTGGTAGTGTTTGTTAGTAGAACCCAAGCAAGTGGGTTCACTTCCCAGCCCACATCCTCTGTCATTTGGAGGAAATAAAGAGAAAATAAAGTTCAAAGCAGGAAAAATTAAAAAGAAAAAAACAAGAGAAAGCTTACAACATAAAGTTGAGGAATGCTTGCAGGATATAGGACAAAAGTGCAACAGAAGATTGGAAGGTCCAAATTATCAAATAAATAATAAAATAAAAATTCTCTAGAACTGAAAAAGAAAAGTTCCCAGATTGGAAGGACTCCATGATACCCAGAATAATGATGCAAAAAGGGCAAGGAGGCCACATGTTCTGACCTCCTCTAATCCCACAAGAGGAAGACAGAATCACCATCAATAGCCCAAGGCCTATTCCTGCAAGGCCAGACATGCTGCCTCCCTCCAGCCCCTTCTCCAACCATTCCTCCCAAAGCACCCACCACCTGTCTCCTGGGTTCGATAATTTGCTGCAGTGACCATGCACAACTCACAGATTATGAGGTTTATTAGGGAAGCACCAGGTTACAATTCAAGTTCAGGAAAAATGCTCAGTCTCTCTCCCAGCCCACCATCCCTCAGCCAACAATCTCTCACAGTCTGTTTCCCAGCAGTGCTGGTCCCTCGGTGTCTCTCTCAGCAATGCGTGTCTCTTGCATCTCTTTCCCAGCAGCACATGTCTCTTTCAGGAGCACGTGTCTCTTTCAGCAACATGTCTTCCTCAACCAGCAGTCAGAGAGAGTTCTGCCTCTAGGAGGCCTCTTTTGAGCCCAGCAGAGTGGTCAAACTAGCCAATCATAGGATCAGAACTCTAAGCACTTGAGAGTGAGCCTCCCATAACATTGTGTTGTGCCACAGCCAACAGAAGTAACTGAGGTGGATAACATTTACAATCAGGAGCTCCTCAGTTGCTCATTCCACCACTGAGTTTACAATGACTTATGGGTAGAAAAGCCATACTAAGTAATTTACTGCTCTGCAAATGATTTTACAAAATGAAAACCCTCACTGTGAGTCACACTCTTGATACTTACCAATATTATAAAGATGCAAAAAATTTCCAAAGAAAATAAAAGAGGAATAAGACTGCAAGAATGGCAACAGCTTTCTCAACACAGTAAGACAATGGGACAATGGCTTCAAAATTATAAAAGAATGTTATTTCCAATCTCAAATTTTATATCCAGCTAAACTATTAAATAAGTGTCAGGACAGAAAAAAGATACTTTCACATATAAACAAACAAAACAAACTCACTGCCATTGAGTCAATTGTGATTCATAGCGACTCCCCCTTTTGAGTTTCTGAGGCAGTAAATCTTTATAGAAGTAGACTGCCCAGTCTTCCTTCCATGGAGTGGTTGGTGGGTTTGAACCACCAGCATTCCGGTTAGCAGTCAAATGCCTTAGGTATTACGCCACCAGAGCTCCTCAGATATAAAAGCTTTCAATTATTTTTGTTTTACTTTCCTATAATCTTTCTCAGAACTGGATTACGGGCTCCACCAAAACAAGGTCATTAAAGAGGAGAAAGTATGTGATCTAAACACAAGAGTATCCAACACAGAAAAGAAATTCATAGGAGAAAATTATGTCAGAAAGCCAAGGTATAGACTGAAGGTACAGCTATAACCAGAGGGCTACATACAGACATACAGGGGAAAAAAAAATAATCAAGACATTACCTAATACTTTTGACCATGTGAATCTGAGAGGCTGTAATACAATGTCAGAAGCCCTAGCCACAATTTCTATGAAAATTAAGCAAATGGGAAGAAAAATAAAGCAATTGTTAACTTTTGGTGGAGGCTGGAGAACAAGAAAGGAAATATACTTACAGTACATTTTTTGCCTCAGCATTGAGAAAAAAATAGTCATATTATTACCAGCATCGAGACAAATAAACAGTCCCACAGTCATATTAATGTGAACACTGAATACAGATCTAACAAAAATCTGTGATTTACCTCTACTGGAAAGATAATGGGAAGACACACACACACTAGATGATATCTGAAATGGATAACAGAATTCAGCATAAAATTCAAAAAAAGGAAAAAATATAATAGCACTAAAAGGTTGAAAGAGTCTGGCTGTGAAGACAGGTCTGGTAGATGAGAAAAAGAATTGCTTTATTTGACTGCTAACCAGACGGTTGGCATTTCAAACCCATCAGCCACTCATGGAAAGAAGACTGGGCAATCTACTTCCAAAATGAGTCAGAATAGACTCGATAGCAGTGAGTTTTCTTTTTAAGCCTGTAGTACTATTTAATTTCCCGGAAGGAAGGTTGGGCAATCCTACTTCCGTAGTGATACTGCCTCGGAAACCCAAGGAGGGGTCGCTATGAGTCGGATTTGACTTGACGGCACATAACAACAACAACAACAACTATTTAATTTTAAAAACTATATGCTATTAATGATCTTAAAAATCAAATTAATTTAAAAAGTAAGAAAAGAGACAGATTGGGAGACAATATTTCCAACATGTAAAACAAAGATGTTTAAAAAAAGGGCAGAGGACACGAACAGACACTTTACCAAAGACAACATTCGGGTGGCCAATATACACATGAAGAAATGCTCACAATCATTACCCATTGTGGTTCTTGTTGTTGTTACATGCCATCAAGTTGGCTCTGACTCATAGCAACCCTGTGTACAACAGAATGAAACACTGCCCAGTCCTGTGCTATCATCACAGTATTTGCTATGCTTGGACCATCAACTCAGCCACTGTGTCAATCTATCTCATTGAAGGTCTTCCCCTTTTTTGTTGACCCTCTACTTTACCAAGAGTGATATCCTTCTCTAGGGACCTGTCCCTTCTGACAACATGACCAATGTATGTGAGATAAAGTCTGGCCATTCTTGCTTCTAAGGAACATTCTGGCTTTACATCTGCCAAGACAGATAGTTCTTCTGATTGCTTTGTTCGTTCTTCTGCCAGTGCATGGTATTTTCAGATTCTTCGACTCACATTTAAATGCATCAATTTTTCTGTCTTCCTTAGTCATCATCCAGCTTTTTGTACGCATACGAGACTACTGAAAGTACCATTGCTTTGGTCAAGTGCACCTTAGTCTTCAAAGTGACATCTTTTCCCTTTAACACTTTATAGAGGTGTTTTGCAGCACATTTTCCAGGTGCAATACAGCAGTCAACTTCTTGACTGCTGCTTCCGTGGGTGTTAATTGTAGATCTATGTAAAATGAAATCCCTGACTACTTCAATCTTTTCTCCATTTATCATGATATTGCTTATTGGTCCAGTTGTGAGGATTTGTTTGTTTTGTTTTGTTTATGTTGAGATGTAATCCATACAGAAGACTGTAGTCTTTGATCTTCATCAGTAAGTGCTCCAAATCCTCTTCACTTTCACCAAGCCAGGCTGTGTCATCTGCATACCACAGATTGTTAATAAGTCTTCCTCCAATCCTAACACCTCATTCCTCTTCATGTAGTCCAGCTTCTCAGATTATTTGCTCAGCATACAGATTGAATAAGTATGGTGAAAGGATACAGTCCTGATAAACACTGATTTTAAACCATTCAGTATCCTTATTCCGTTTGAACAACTGTTTCTTGGTCTAGGTACAGGTTCTTTATGAGCACAATTAAGTTTTCTGGAATTCCTATTCTTTGCAATGTTATCCATAATTTGTTATGATCCATACAGTCAAATGTCTTTGCAGTCAATAAAACACAGGCAAGCATCTTTTTTGGTATTCTTTCCCTTCAGCCAAGATCCATCTGACATTAGTAATAATATCCCATGTTGTGAGAGCTGGACAATGAATAAGGAAGATCGAAGAAGAGTTGATGCTTTTGAGTTGTGGTGTTGGAGAAGAATGCTAAGAGTACCATGGTCTGCTAAAAGGACTAACAAATCTGACCTGGAAGAAGTACAGCCAGATGCTTGTTGGCAGCAAGAATGGCCAGAGTTCGTCTCACCTACTTTGGTTATGTTGTCAGAAGGAACCATTCCCTGGAGAAGGGTATCATGCTTGGTAAAGCAGAGGGTCAATGAAGAAGCGAAAGGACCTCAACGAGATGGACCGACATGGTGACTGCAACAATGGGCTCAGGTATAGTAAGAATCATGAGGCTGGCACAAGACCAGGCAGTGTTTCGTTCTGCTGTGCATAGAGTCACTATGAGTTGGAGATGACTCAATGGCACCTAAGAACAACTATCATGCTGTCTTCTGATTCTGGCTTGGATTTCTAGCAGTTCCCTGTCCACATACTGTTGCAATTATTTATAGTAAGAATCGTGAGGCTGGCACAAGACCAGGCAGTGTTTCGTTCTGCTGT